AAAATGCGAATTCCACCAGGAAAGGATAGACTACCTAGGCTATCGCATATCCCCACAGGGCATTGAAATGGACCCAGAGAAGGTCAGAGCAGTATTAGAATGGGCACCACCCCGCACAAGAAAGCAACTACAAAGTTTCCTGGGCTTTGCAAATTTTTACCGCCAATTCATCCCCTCATTTGCACAGATAGCCTTGCCCCTCACTAACTTACTAAAAACGAAGGGAACATCCTCAGTAAAACCTAGCCAGCCACTAAATGGACAATGGAGTGCCAAGCAGCGTTTGAGAGACTAAAGAGACTTTTTTCTGCCGAACCAGTACTAAGGCACCCAGACATGGACAAACCCTTCATAATACAGGCAGATGCAAGTGATGTGGCAGTGGGGGCTGTGCTATTACAAGAAAATGATGATGCAGTATTGCAACCCTGTGCATATACATCTAAGAAACTCACGGAAACAGAACAGCGCTGGCCCGTATGGGAGAAGGAGGCTTATGGGATACGTTGGGCATTACTCACGTGGCGACAGTTCCTGGAAGGCAACAAAATCCCCTTCCAGGTATGGACTGATCACAAAAATTTAGAAGCCCTGAAAACTTCCAGGAAACTCAATCCCAAACAAGCCCGCTGGTCCCAGCATTTTCATCAATTCCAATTTAAGCTCAAACATTTACCAGGAAGAAAGAACTTCCTGGCAGATGCACTATCTCGCATGCCCCAATATAACAGCGCACGAACCACAGACTCTAGACCAATAATGGCAGAGTCACAACTGGCAGCGCCAGTAACCACAAGAACCCAAGCCAAAATAAAACCACAACTGGACAGCCAAACTGGGATTGAATTCAGAAAAAGTTTGGAAACAGATGATTGGTTCCAGAAAAACAAACATGTGTGCACAATGAGAGACGGATTGCCTTGGGTAGGGGAAAAGTTATATATACCAACAACTCAAAGACTAACTTTCATGCAACTTTGCCATGATACAAAATCAGCAGGGCATTTTGGATTTGTAAAAACTTTACACTTAATTAAACGGCAATTTTGGTGGCCATCAATAAAAAAGGACATAGAAAGTTATGTTGCCAGCTGCCCAACCTGTGCATCAGCAAAGAGGTTGCAAGGGAAATCGCCAGGGCTGTTACAACCAGTGGCAAGTCCCTCAGCCCCCTGGAGGGAAATAGCCATGGATTTTATAGTGGAATTGCCTGAAAGCAATGGGAATACTGTTATCTGGACAGTCACGGACCTATTTTCCAAACAGGTGCACTTTATCCCTTGCCAAAAAATTCCCACTGCAAAGGCCTTAGCAAAACTTTTCATCCAGCACATTTACAGATTGCACGGGGCACCCCAACGCATCATCTCTGATAGGGGAGTGCAATTTACGTCTGCATTTTGGAAGGAATTTTTATCCCTCTTAGGGACCACTCAGGGATTGACATCTAGCCACCACCCTCAAGGAGATGGACAAGCGGAACGCTGCCAGTCGGTACTTGAGCAATATTTGAGATGTTTTTTAAATTTCCAACAGAGTGATTGGACGGACTTACTTCCTTTTGCAGAAGTTGCCTACAATAATGCAGTCCACTCCAGCACAGGCTACACTCCTTTTCAAATAGCCAACGGCCAAAGTTTCAACCCTATGCCAGAGTTAACCCCAAAAGAACCAACGATCCCTTCACTGAAAGAATGGATGGAAAACCTACAAAACACCTGGCCAATAGTCAGAAAATCACTAGATGAAGCTAGGCGGGCATACAAAGCACAAGCCGATAAAAAAAGGGTTGAGCCTACACCATTCATTATAGGAGAAATGGTGTACTTATCTACAAAATACCTAAAGTCCCTACAGCCCTGTAAAAAACTTGGACCAAAATATATAGGACCTTTTCCAATTAAAAGGATCATAAATCCAGTAACAGTAGAATTAGAATTACCCAAAAACCTCAGGCAAATACACCCAATTTTTCATTGCAGCTTGCTGAAAAGAGAGCATCAGTCACCTCTACGGCCAAAAATCCCCCCCCCACCACCTCCAATCATGGTGGAGGGGGAACAACACTTCGAAATAAAAGAGATCCTTGACTCTAGGAGATATCGTGGAACAACTCAGTACCTAGTTGCCTGGAAACACCTCCCTGCCTCACAAAATGAGTGGGTCCATAAACGTCACGTCAGAGCCCCGAAGCTATTGAAGAAGTTTCACACAGAGTATCCTAACAAGCCTAACTAAATTTTTTACTTGTGTTTTCTTTCAGGTGGATCTCTCTTATTGTTAAGAGGGGCCGGATGTCAGAATCCAATTATATTTCATCTTTAATTATCAAACATAGAAACTCCCAATTCTGCCTTCTCTGGATTCTGCCATAAGAGGGAGAAAAGGGGGAGAGCAAAGGGGCTTTATGGCCCTCACTTCCTTCAGCACACTTCAAAGGACTGAATGTATGTTTATTGTGGCCTCTAAGCTTTAACATATCAAAGAAGAGTAATTGCCTTTCATGTAGTTATCTGAAGTCTCCATCCAGACGGAAGAAGAAAGGGGATGGAATTGTGATACTTGAAACTATCACTGGAAGGGGGGTTGATTGGGTGGGACTACTGGGGAACCCCTTAAAACCTTGAATGGGAGAGCTTGAACCCCAAGTCCTGTCTAGCATGCCTGCAACCATTTTCTCTTAATAAAGGATTCCTGTTGGAAGAATTATTCCAAGAGTTCTGTCTTCTTAAGATGCAAAGTGGGGTGGGTCCTTACATACTGGTTGATCATAGATAGATAGATCTTCCTTCCTTCCTTCCTTCCTTCCTTCCTTCCTTCCTTCCTTCCTTCCTTCCTTCCTTCCTTCCTTCCTTCCTTCCTTTATTTTTCTTTCTTTCCTCTCCCCAACATGGTGCTCAGGTCTTTCAATATGGCACCCGTCACCACTGTAACTGAGTCCATCCACCTCTTCTCAATGTCCGCTTTTCCTCTTTCCTTTCAGCTTTCATAGCATGATATTCTTCTCTAGTGAGCAAGGTTTTCACATAAAATGCACCCAAAGTCTAATTTGTGCAGCATGGTTTGATTTGCTTAATGATTCATTTTGTTTGTATTCTTGGCTAAAATACAAAGATAATTTATAACTGGAACAATATCAGTAGGCATCTTTGACTTTTGAGAGAGTTCATTTGCTGTAGTCTAGGAATTTCTGGCACAGAGACAATTCTTTATAGGGCTGTACCTGTGAACTACACCAACTACAATTCTTTTGGAAATGGCTGTACCTGTGAACTACACCATGCTTCCATTTTGATTAAAGAGATAAACATTCTCTCAAATTCAAGCTCATATCCTTGTGATCATATGGACACAGCTGTGTTATTTTCTTGGCAACAATATGGAAGTGGCTTGACATTGCCTTCCTGGATGCTAATCTACATCCCTCGTATTCCCTTGTGGTGTCCTACCCAAGTCCAGTTTCAACCTGCTTAGCTTTCCAAGATCAGTTCATCACCCACTAATCTTATTTTTATTATTTTTATTTCACAGGGAATTCATCCTTGATAAACTGCATTGGAATTTTCTACAAGAAATGAAGCAATATAGGATATTTGTAATAATTATTTAATTAAATGATAATAATAATTCCTAAATATCTGTCCTCCGTCTAATCTCAGTTATTACCTGACTATTGTGTTAGGGTTACTCAGTATGAGGAAGAACCAGTTGTTGCAAAGGACTTAGTTCTGCCAATTTTTACACTTTGTAAGAAGTGTTAAAAAGGGAAAGTAAAAAATTGTGTAGTTCTATGATGGTTCCCAGAAGGGATAGAAGATGAGACCATGAGAGAATATATGTGGTGCACTACCTTTTTCTTCCCAGCTTCTTGTCCTTCAAAATTTCTATTAGCAGCTTTTCTCCTTAGAGCCTTTTCCCCTTAAAAATAGAGTTCAACATATTGGTAAAAACAAATAATAAGTAGCTTTAAGCCCCATGAAGAACGTAAGTAGCCATTTCCTACATTAATTATGAAGCTCTTTCTCATCTCCCCATAATGTACAACTAACCTCATATTGCTCTTCATGGGCCAAAGAATTACAGAAAAGCAACATTCAAATTCATAATCACTATGTGAGGCAGTGAGTGTATTCCATCTTGCTGGTGCCACTGGAAACTGCCCTCCTGCAAGGTAGTTGTGCAGATGAACATAGACCAACTCTCAAGCAGCAGATTTGCAGCTAGTCGATCAACAGCAATATTTAGTGTTGAACAATGCAAGGGTGTCCCCCAGAAACAACAGTTGTCCTCACTTGACCCCCACAATAAGGCAAAGTTTCCCTGTTCAAGAAAATTTCCTTTCTATCTTATCGCTGAGCAGTTGAATTCTACTAGACAGGGGTAGGCAACCTTGGCTCTTTTATGACTCGTGGACCAACTCCCAGAATCCCTGAGACAGCCGTGCTGGCTCAGGAATTCTGGGAGTTGAAGTTCACGGATCATAAAAGAGCCAAGGTTGCCTACTCCTGTGCTAGGAGAAAAAAACCCACATGAAAATGATGATTTTCCAGAGAACATTTTACTCCTATTCTTTTCAATCCTTATAACTTTAGCATCTATTTGGGAGATTCCATAATTGCTTGGACTTGGGATGCTCCTTAACTACTGATACAGTATCTGTCCTTGTTAAGAAAAATAATCTCACTTGTGTGCCTAGTGAAAGGCTACTGCACCATGGTTGCTAATAGATCTGGCTAGTTAAATATCTCAGGGTCTGATCATGGTAATAAAGCATTGGTTGACTCGGAGTCTTCTATTGGAATGCATATACTTTTCTATTAATGTGGTGTGTGTTTGTATGTATTTATGTATATCTATGTATGTGTATATATGTATGTATAATATACAGTAATACATACTTTAATCACATCTTTGTTTCCAATACTCTAAACAGTTGCTGGATAAAACATGTTTTCTGTTAATTTTTATAATATTGTGTTGTTTTGCTATTTTATGTACAGAACCACACTACGGCAAGTGGTCGCCCAACAAAAGTGGATGCTCCTGATCATGTCCTTTACACTGTAGGCTCTTGTGTCCTGGCCATTGGTTGTGTTGGAATTATAGGAAATCTCCTTGTCCTCTATGCATTTTACAGGTATAGTTTTATCAAGCTGGGGACAGGGATGAAGGAAGAGGGAGATATTCACAATTAGTGGTTTGTTCATCCAATAGCTCTTCTGTCCTCTTTTTTTATACTGTTCCCATATAACAGCAGATTGGGTAAGATTAAGTTAGGCCAAGGGTAGGCAATCTTGGCTCTTTTATGACTCGTGGACTTCAACTCCCAGAATTCCTGCGCCAGCATGGCTCAGTATAGAAACCTCCCTTTTCCCTCAGTGTGGCTGGCTCAGGAATTCTGGGAGTTGAAGTCCACAAATCATAAAAGAGCCGAGGTTGCCTAGACAAAGTTCATCAATTCATCAAATCCAGAAGCGTAGTGTGTTATTATCAACGCCTGAACTGTTTTATTCAGGACTTACAACATTCCTTAGTCAGTAAAAGGTACACTACAAACAATTTTCTAAGTTTCATTTTAAACATTGTTATCTGATTACTTATAAATTATTCTCATCTGCCCCAGTGCAGTGTATATATAGATCTAGTTTATGGAAGGAACATAAACCAGAAGGTCTTCTCCACTGTCCAAGATACTGGAAGACATGTTTCGGCCCAAATATCGTAACACTACTATCCCGTTACTTGCAAACAAACTAGTCTATTTTGTTTTCTTCCTTTTAGCTTTCATTTTGAAAGGCCTATTGCAGTTTTATTCTGTAAATAATATATATCATTATTCTGTAATATATCTGATGAACGGTAGTTTGTAACTACAACAGAAACTAACCAAGTACTACTACCTTCTCCTTTACATGACTGATGATGATGATGATAATGATGAAGCAACAAGAGGCTGAGGACACCTGCAAATTATTTCATTATGAATTTAGCTGCAAGTGACTTTCTGATGTCTGCAACTCAAGCTCCAGTCTGCTTTTTCAACAGTATGCACAAGGAATGGGTACTTGGAGACACAGGTGCTTTCCCAATAGTTTTACATTTTCCAGTTGCATCAAATTTATCCTTGAGAGAATAAATTTGTCTGAATTGGTTAACAGAATCTGTTTGGTTATAAATATACAAACTATAAGCCATATAGAACTTTATAGGTAAAAACCAGCATCTTGAGCTACAGGCCTTCATATCTTAAGAGCTGCATAGTCTTAAAATAATAGGCTAAGTTTATATATCATGATCAGCATATGTTTGTTGAACTTAACATCCTTGACTAATTTACACAGTGTATGAAATCATACAAACTACTATCCTAAAATCAAAGAGAGCATAGTATAGCTCAACTTTTAGTCTTGAGTGTTATATATAGTTGAACTGTGGGACCCACTGAATTACCAGTTCCAAGAGTGTCATATTCTCAAGCCCTTGGCTTTTTTGGAGCATAAAAGTATATGTTTCAGTTGAGCTATACCCAGGCTGTATAATCTTTCTGAACTCTGGTGTGTTCCTTTGTCCTTTGAGATGTTTTAAGTCCTGACATCTGGCTTCACTCCTTCATTGTGATCTCCTGATGAAAGTTGTCTTTCCAGGATGATCCAAAATTCAGGCCTATGCATTATATAATACAGTTTTCTAAATCAGTACTTGCATAATAAAAATTCATACATTTCTCAGTGGCTTTTTCAACAGCAAAACCCAAAGTTACTAAATTTTGTCCATGTTTTCAAACAGAATCCTGTCACTCTTAACAAACCAATTCATTCTAATTGTTGTACAGGTAGTCCTCAGCTTATGACCATAATTGAGCCCAAAATTTATGTTGCTAAGTGAGACATTTGTTAAATGAATTTTGCCCCATTTTACAACCTTTCTTGCTACAGTTGTTAAGTGAATCACTGCAGTTATTAAGTTAGTAACATAGTTGTTAAATGAATCTGGACTTTGCTTGTCAGAAGGTTATAAAACATGATCACATGACCCTGGGACACTGCAACCATCATAAATATGAATCAGTTGCCAAGTGTTTGAATTTTGATCACCTGACCATGGGGTTGCGGCAATGGTCATAAGTGTGAAAAATGGTCATAAGTCACTTTTTCAATATTGTGATGAGGTTCGTAATTATGCTAAATTATGGTTTGCTTACCGAATAAAGTACAAATGACTTTAGTTCATGGATACACTTAAAATATTTGGACTTAAGGAGGTTGCAAAATGGGTAGGGCAATAGTATACACATCAACAAGAATTCATATTTGCAAGTTTTTCTTTTTTAATTATGCTATGCCTATTTTAGGCTTACAGTTCATACACTCTCAGTTTTAAAATAGCAAGATACAGTATGGCCACTTTTTCAGCAGTCATGGCCTCCAAGGATCATAAAAAAGAGACTAAAAGCCTCATAGGAGCTTGTATTTGCCAATCACCATGTTTAATAGATCTTAGTAGGTAGATTCATGCAAATCTATTAAATCAAAATCAGACAAACTACAAAATGAATTAGCAATCTGTGTGACTTCATGGAAGAAATAGAAATGCAGGAAATATAAACTTTAAAAATGCGAAAGAAAGATCACATGGTATAGTTCTACGAAGTATGCTATCCTTATCATCTGAGCTATAGAAATATTTGTGGATGACTTTTTCTTGATTTTCCCACTCTCCTCCTTTCCCACTGTGAACTAAGCATTTTGTCTTTTTGTTTGCTCCAGGTTGTAACTTTTATGCTTTTTGTGGAGCACTGTTTGGAATAACCTCAATGATGACCTTGTTGGCTATTTCGGTGGATCGCTACTGTGTGATTACCAAGCCTCTCCAGTCATTAAAAAGAAGTTCAAAAAAACGTTCATGTATAATCATTATGTTTGTCTGGCTCTACTCACTGGCTTGGAGTGTTTGTCCATTATTTGGGTGGAGTATGTTATCAGTTTCCTTCCTTCCTTCCTTCCTTCCTTCCTTCCTTCCTTCCTTCCTTCCTTCCTTCCTTCCTTCCTTCCTTCCTTCCTTCCTTCCTTCCTTTTCCTTTCTTTCTCTTAATATATTTCTCTTAATATGTGTGCTAAAAGCAGCTCAAATAATTTTAGTGTGGTAATAAAAATGACAATGAAAGATCCAGATATATCATTTTTAGTAGCTGTGTTGTCTATTCATCTAGATTTGGATATGTTAGGTTAGAAAATTTTTGTCCCTGTTAGATGTTTTCACCAATTAATATTGTATTCTCCTACCTTCCCATCTTGGTGGAGAGAACATATTTTGCGAGTACTCAGAGCCATATACTTTAATCACTAATTAATATCTAGTAATATTATTAAAAACTGACTAGGGAAGAATTGATACCAAGGGATTTAATGGCTCAAGATTAATTCTAAGCAAATCTCTAATTAGCAGATTCTGAATTTATCAAGAGCCTTTTAAATCTATCTTTTTTTTTTTTTCAGTATGAAAACATCTGGTTCTGGGTTAAATTAAGGGATTTACTGCAATATCCCTGTTTTCTATAAACAGTAGTTAAGGAAGATGTATGTTTCTCTCCATTATAACCTGAAGCAATAGGAAAGTATCACATATTGACTTTGCAGTGTGTGTGTGTGTGCATGTGTGTGTGTGTATAATGCTGCTCTAAGCATGCACCAGTGAATCTTCTTGGCATTTTTTGAGCTACTTGTAGCTCTGATGTACTTAGCAGAAGGTCTACAGATGCAGTGTTATGTTAACAATCAACCTTATAATTAAAATTGTACTGCACTAATGCTGTCCAGATGTTACAGGTTTCAGCTCTCTTAAGCTTAAGTAAGTAACAGCAAGGCTGTATGACAGTCAGGATCCTTATTCCAGAATATTCCAGTTCTAATGATATTTCTTTATGTTCCATGTAAGACTTAGAACACTTCTCCACGATTACACTCTTTTGGTCGCACTGCCATCAGAACAAAATCATGAAGGATTTTCACTGAAAGACCATTTTCTCTATATGAAGAATCTAACCGCTAATTACAAGATCTCACTCCTCGTATCCTGCTTTTAAGTAGAAGTCCTCTCCTGGGAACTCATAAATTAAAGAATAAAATAATATAAAAATAGTCCGCAAATAAAATCTCATTTTAAAAAAACCCTCAAAGCCAGTTTAAATTAGGCTAAATATTTTCCATACATATATGAAAGTAAAGGTATAAACTAAAGCCACTGGGAGTGGAATAGCACAGCTGAAGAATTAGTTGGATCAACTGGCTGATGATAAAAAGCTCTGTTGAGCAAAAATGCTGTTTGTATTTTTTTAAGTTTAAACATTTATGAACACAGAGCATTAGAAATGAAATAAAATTATTCCTTAATTTAGCCAATGCATTTTATGTAGATCATCTACATAGTAAATATACATACCTCTCCTATATTTTTAAAAGATTAAACCAGTTTGAACATAGAAGAATCTGAAGTGAAGTAAAATAAAACCTGTACTGTAATCTCTGTATAGTTTTCTGCAAATATTTTTCTATTTCTAGTGATTTTGGTTTTAGGACTAATGTCTGAAGGAACTTTGAGACACAGCTTAATTTTTTGTCTAAAAACTAGCATCTCTTAAATGAGGTTCAGGACCTAGACCCATGTTTCTAAAAGAAACGTCTTATTCAAATGGAAAAATCAATGTTTCTTTTAGAAACATGGGTCTAGGACTTGAATCTCATTTACGGTATGAATGTTTCTGAATGTTGTAGTCCAAAGTATCTGTAGAAACAAGTTTGGAGATGTCTTTACTGCAAACTAACCTTTTGAATAAGTTCTTTAATTTATAAGTTCTTACTTTGCAGTAAAGCCATTCCCAAATCTGTTCCTACAACATTCAGAGCCATACTCGCTGAAATTGATGGGGATTGTAGCCAATGAAATTAAAAGGGATTCTGTAATGTGAAACCTCATACTGTAATAATTATTTCATATTTAGGGACTAAGATTTCAAAGTAAGATTCAGATAACTACATCTACTGAACAGTTTTGCTCTTCTTAAATAACGAATTCTTATATCTGTTGTTACTTATTTTATGCACTATATAATAAAAAAATTAATTAATACTTAGGTTCCTATATCCCAGAAGGTTTGATGATATCCTGTACATGGGACTATGTAAGCTATTCTCCAGCAAACAGAAGTTACACCATGTTGCTATGTTGGTGTGTGTTCTTCATTCCTCTCATAATAATCTTCCATTGCTATTTATTCATGTTCCTCACCATAAGAAGTACAGGCAGGTAAGTGTATAACTGAAAAAATATAATTATTAGGAACTCAAGTACGTTCTGTAATGGTGCATTAAGAACTGGAAAGAGATTTATATTCTTACCAAATAAATATTGCTCCATTATCAGTTAAGACAATATCCTATTATATCCTATCACACAGGAGCCACAAGTAAGTAAATGAGAAAGTCTCTGCCATAGGAACTTAGGATATAAAATTAAACTCTAAACGGGGAAAACAATCCAGACTCTAAAAGTTGGTCAAACAAAATCTGTTAGCTGAAAGCTTAGAGATGAAAGATCAGCCTGTGATTCTTAGCTTGTCTCATCTTAATTTGTTATTTAAATGCTGAATGTATGCTTTGTATAAATACGAGTTTTATTAGTTTTGGTACATAAGATCAGCAGCCCCCACCTTTTGGGCACCAGGGACCAGTTCTGTGAAGAGAGGTTTTTCCGCGGACCGGTGAGGGTGTGGTTTCATGTGCTGTCTGTATCCCGCGGATGGGACTTCACTTGTTTGTGTGGCCCTATGGCTGGCTGGTGCCGGTCCATGGGTTGGGGGTTGGGGACCCTTGCATTAGATAAGTACAGAAATGCTTATTGTATTGAATCATGACACAGTTGCCTTTTTTTAGTATTTTATTTATTTTCTTTCTCAGTGCTGCTTTATTTTTAATTTTACAGTTTAGTTTTCTAAACTTTCTATAATGTCTTTTGAATAGAATAGATTAAATTATATAATAATTGTATTCAATTGTTATTATGGGTACTATTTAAATAAAACTCAGTACAAATTATAAAAGCAATGTTAAGAAACCAATTATTGTTAGGCTTCATCCAAGCCAGCACATTATTTCATGAAGCCATGAAGGAGCACCCAATGCCTTTCAAATCCCTATGAGTTTATAACCAGCATTGTAAATAATGGTGACAAAGCTACATTTGCTATCATTTTTCTTATTCTCAAGACATTCTGGCATCACTTCTGAATATCTAAATACAATCTGCCCAGCAACCTAAGAAAAAAAAGGTGATTGATCCCCAGCACGGCAAAAGGAATTCTTAATTAAAGGCCTGTTGTTTTCTCATTCTTTTACAGGAATGTTCAGAAATTAGGATCCAGTTCTAAACGAAAACAGTCAAGCTCACAGAGCATAAAGAGTGAATGGAAACTGGCAAAAGTTGCCTTCGTAGCCATTGTGGTTTATGTTATATCCTGGTCTCCGTATGCTTGTGTCACCCTGATTGCATGGGCTGGGTAAGTGGCAAGTCATCATCTCAGTCAAGAGTAGAAGAAGAGGATAAAAGGAGAAAGTAATCCTGTCCATTTGTTCACTAAACTTTTTGACAATTGTCAAATATGACTTTCACTTAGTTACTTGGTGAGTGAAGCATTAATTATAATAAGGGGTCCTTGGACTCTCTGAGCTTGATTGTTTTCTTGCAGACGTTTCATTGTGCAAAGTAAGTAACCCCATCAGTACAAATATGATATTACTTAGTTTGGTGATGAAATATCTGCAAGAAAACAACCAAGCTCGGAGAGTACCAAGGACATCTCATTTCAGCCCTGAGCTACAATATTCTCCTTTGTCAATAACTATAATAAACTTTTGCCAGAACAAAAAAATCTTAAATATTACTGTTTAAATAAATACCAAGTTAGAGGAAGTATTTTTCCCCCTGAAATATTCTTTTTTGAAAAAATGATGCATTATAGTTGAAAGGAATAATTCATGGTTTATCTTGTTACTTGTTTTTTTTCTCCCAAGAGCTTCCCCTTCCTTCCTTCTCTTTATATTTTTGAATTGTTTGAAAAACAGTATTGGAAAATATGTAAAATATTTATTGTATGGAACCTTCTATTTTTAAAATATTTAAAAGCATATAAAGGACACACATGTCGTGGAAATTTTTTCAGTGTCAGTATCTCCCATGTGCCCTTCCTATAGATTATAATTTCATATTTCCAATTTTTTTTACCCTCAAAACTCCCAAAACTAAATTCAGAAAAAGTCATTTAAGACATTGACATATGTGAAATCACTGCAGCAGATCATCAAATATTCAACCGTGTGCTTAGTTAAAGGTCTAGTGATTAATTTAAGTTTTTTTCTTATTTCTAGTTATGCCAGGATCTTAACTCCATATTCTAAATCTGTGCCTGCTGTTATTGCTAAAGCTTCAGCAATTCACAATCCTATAATTTATGCTATTATTCACCCAAGTTACAGGTATTGTAAATTCACTCTTAAAATACTACTTTTATACTCTGATATGTTTGAAGAGAAATTAATCCATTGTTGAATAGTAGGACATCTTTATTTAAAATTTCTGCCTGGATTCCTATATTCTTAGCAATTTAACTAGTAACAATATCTCTTCTGTCTGTATTTAGAAGAAAAATGAGTTTAAAATGTGAAAGTTTAAAATATTGATCCGAAACATATAAAAATGACACAGTCTGCTGAATACTGTATGTATTAGAGCTGTATAAAGGAAAATGGTAATAAAAATTATTTATAAAAAAAATGTGAAAGTTTCCTTATGAAAAGACAGTAGCGCAAGGCTGAGCTTGTCTGACTTTATAAGCTAAAACAGGACGGACCAGCAAATATTTGAATGTGGGGGCTAAATATCAGAGTTGTAGACTAATCCTGAAAGTTAAAAAAACATCATGGAAGAAGGCTATAGCAGTTTCTATACTGCTGTCAAAATCTACCAGATGGACTATGGAATCAAAAGGATTCCAGCTCAACTTTGTCCTTCTCTTTATCAGGGCAAGCCCATATTTTTCCCGACTGATGCACTCCAGATGTCTTGGCACCAATGATAGACATTAATTGGCCTACTGTTTGCCATAACTAGGGGAAGCATTATTAATGGCAAGAAGTACGACACAGTAAAAGAACTTCTTGGACCCCATTTTTTGAAACATGTATTCCCCGAAAGTCAGTTTAGCCCCAGTTGTTCTTGCATTCTACAAAGTAAAATGGTCATAATTGATATTATAGCAATTTTAATTGCCTTTACTGATTATTTAGTTTCTGAGGGTGTGCTTGTTGTTCACTACTAAGAATCTGGACTGAAGTGGGTAGTAAATATTGTTACACAAATACATATATTTACAGAGTAATAATAATTATTTATATGATTCCTTAATCTGTAAGATTAATATGGATAGCAAAATAGATTTACCTTGCACACTTTTTTGAAGAACATAGCAATGTACTATTTTTATTTCATGCCTAGTCTTATGGCATTGTTCCAGAAAGTTTTTGCCTACTTACCAAAGTTTTCTTTGCTCTCAGCTAACAGAATTTCATGACAATCCATACACATTCATCTTTCAGTTGTTTTGACTGGTTCTGCTTTTCTAAGTGTCAAGAACTGAACATATGATGCAGAATTATACAGACATTAAAAAGAAAGATTAAAAGCATCTGCTAATATCAGCTGACAGCTTTTGAGTCCCAAGCTCATTGCTATATGCTGATTATGTTTGAACACTGAAAAAGAACTACCATTTTATAGAAAGGCACATCGTGGTCTGTATGTGTTCAAAGAAATCTTAAGACTTCTTTAGACACTTTGATTTTGATTTTTAAAATCTAGACAGATTTTATTAAGCATGACAAAAGAATTCATTTCAACTTTAGATCTGTTAAGATTACTGACAGCTATCAAGCTCATTATGTTTGCAACAAATTTATCTCCAGAACCATAATTAAAATTATGAAAGCTTAATATAGAATAGACAAGAATGCATATCCTGTTATCCTGGTCTATACTTCTAACTTTAAAAATTTTAAACATTATAGTTATTCATTATGTAATGAACAATTTAATTATAATGAAAAAGGACATTTCAGAATTTAACATCAAATATTCCTTTGAAGTACAAGTATTCACAATGTGTATCTCATCCAAAACTCAATTTTCTATTTCAATTTATTGAAATAAATCAGTGGTTCTTAACCTGGGCAATATTGCCCCCCCAGGGGGCAATTTCATTTTTCAGGGGGGCGATGGAACAAAAAGGGGTGATGTGGGGGGGAAGGAACGAAAAGGGGGTGATATGGGGGCGATGGAGCGAGACGTTTTGGGGACACTTTTGAGACTTTTTCGTACAGTGAATCACTGTATATCTGTCGTACAAAAACATCAGATCGCTCGCTATTAGTGGATTGAATTGTGTTTTCAAATGTTCCTCTAGCTAGCTTCAGTACAGAATGCCGTACATATGTGAATACGGATCACTTATCTTCATGCACGTTGTGCAGCAGCCTCTACCCATACAGTGGTGCGCCATTGGCCAGAATGGGCAGTGATGGAGGGGGGAGCACTTCTTTTGAAACATCGCATGCTGTGTGGCTGTCCCCTGTGACGTCAGCTGTAATGTTGATGTCACAGTTTGAGTTTTCAGCTTTGTTTTCAAATTTTTGTTGTGCTCTGTAAAACATTTTGTGTGTCTCTTTGTATTGTACTTTTTTAGCGTGCACTCCAGTTTGATATTATATTTTCTTTGTGTCTTTTTAATCCTTTTTACAGTGTGCGTGACTATATATACTTTTCTCAAATCTTAACTTAGTTTCAGAGTTTTTGTCTTGAAATTCTTAGTTCCTGCATTGCGGTTTGTTCTTATGCCCTTTTTATATTTCTTTTTGCGTCTTAAATTTCACTTGTAATTCAATCATTAAATGTTACTGTTTTTCTTTTCGGGCATTTTACTTTCTTGCAATTGAATTTTGTTTTCAGTGTTGATTACATTTAAGTGTCTTGAATAATTAAGATAATAATGAAATACATGTATCACAAAGTTTGGGAATAAAGTGCCAGGTGGCACCAAAATTTTTCACACAGTTGAGATATGGGGAAAAGACTGGAAATAAACTATTTGCATCAATATGTCCTGATGACAATTTTAAAGAAAACAAAAAAAGTGTTTGCATAAATTGAAGAATTATTTCCTATGTTGTGATTGAGAGGTTATGTTGGGGGAGGGGGGCGATGACAACTTCCTCATTGGGTCAAGGGGGCGATTTGTTCAAAAACGTTAAGAACCACTGAAATAAATGACAAAAATTAAAAGCAAGGTATTAAATCAGCGATAGACGAAGAACTAACTTTATATGATTAAATACTAGGAATAAGATTTTACATGATCTGAAGAATAAGGTAGTATTAAAATACTAAATTTCAAATTGTATTACCAAGCCAGCTGTCTAGCTTGGATCTGAAGGAAGAAAATAAATTTGCTGCAGTTTGGCTAGTAATAATTAAATCAATTCTTATTTGTTTATAAACAAACAGTTTTGTTAGTTAAGAAAATGTCCCAGATGAACTACATTTGTTTCTTGATGGCTATTATATTGTAGCTACAATTGTTAAATAGGATCATACATTTAGGGAATTTAATTTATTAATTTAACAGGCATATAATTTAACAGGTATATAGACTTAATAATAAATAAATTGGCAGACATGAAAAAAATGATAATATGTTTTGAGACCTTGCCATGCATCTAGGCCAATCCTCACAAAATAAGATTAAGTGAATATGAACTAGGTATCTGTGGATGTGACCATTCACCCAGTTATATGTTGTTTCATTTTAGAATCTTGTTTCTTTGTTTATTTTCTGCATTTCAGGAAAACCATTCGAACAGCTATTCCTTGTTTGAGATTTCTCATACGAATATCTGCAAGTGAACTTTCCACAACTCTTGCAAATTCTTCCTTCAGGTCTTCTATGTCTAGTCGTGTCTCTTTCATTTCCAAGAACAAAAGCAATGACATTTCTTCCATTTCTGCTACAGGAAAAGTTAAGTTTGTCTCATGGAGAAGAGGCTGATGCACCGATCTCTCTTCTCTCTCTCTCTCTCTCATCTATTATCTGTCTTTATATCTTCTAATGGAAACAGGTTCTTTTTTTCAATCACCCCAAACTTTCTGTGAAACATAAGCCCCAATGTTGGGATATCCCTGTGTAACTGAACAATGCTGGCTTTGTCTTGTTCCAATATATTGTTTTATTCTCTTGTCATTCCTTTTAATTCAAATAACCAGTTTTCCCCCCACTTAATCCATCATCCAAGAAAAACATAGCTTTCTCACTTTCTCTGTCTTGTTCTTACAATACATTTTTAAGAGGAATTTTAATGTGACCGTTGGCAAATTTCCTGGGGATGGACCTATAACAGATCATTAACATATCATTAGCTATTGATGAACCTACCAGGCTTCCATAGAAAATGAAGACAACACTTTTATTAATTCAGATCAGGACTATCTCCGAAATGACTAGGTTATGCTAAATATTTCTATAGAAGAAAAAAATTTATACTTCATCATAACAAATATGTTCATCCAATATTTTCTTTTCTCTTTTCTTTTCTTTACTAGACTTGGAATGATGTAGAGCTTGATCCTGTGGAGACAGTCCGTATAAAATTGCAGTTACGTGAAAGTAACTCTTTTTCAACAAACACAGTAGAAAGAAGTGAATTGCCTACAAATATCCCGAGCTGCAATGCACCAATTGAAGAAAAGGTTAAAGCAATATTTTCTTATATTCTCTTGACTTTTACTAACAAATCTTTTGTGGGACAAGCCTAAAGGGGAATCGATCCACCCATCACAACCCTATCCCTAACAAGAATGTAAAATCAAATGCCAAGATAAAATACTAACATAATGAGTAGCATCTATAATAAAAGTATAACATATGTTACCTAATAACAAAAATATAACTTAAGCTATTATAATATGTTAATTAACTATGCAAATATAAATCTAAAATATTACAATTTATGAAGCAAAACACAAGTTACCTAAAACAGGCTAACTACACATAATTGAAAAATGAAATGATGACTATAATAGAAGAACTGTCAGTATACCCTTTTATATTTGAATTTAGTTTTTATTCATTTTAATGGTTATTCATTTTGGGGGCAAAATAACTTGCCTAAACTGGATCCTGCCCTATACTGAGGATATAGTGCAAACTCCAAGAATTATTTCTTCTCCAGTTCTCCTTTTCACTTCTTCACTTCATAACCTCAATAGTTACATCCTTCGGCTTCAAATTTCATACCAGGAATCAAAACAAAATGGTGGAACTTTCCTTTTAGTTTTTGAGGAGGAACATGAAAAAAGAAAGTCCTCTTTCTCACAGAAATCTTTGGCAATTGCTTTATGAAACTAATGAATACAGACAGTATCCTCTACTGAATACTGAGCAGTTGGCTATAGAACGTTTCCTGAAACATCAGTCAGTGATATTACAGCTGGTGTGTGCAAACATACACTGTAGACCTTGTTTGAAAAATACTTCATTATCAGCGGATATTGTACAGTTACATTCAACTGATGTCCCCATAAATTCTTAGAGGAGTAGTTCAGAGCCTATTACAGCCATTATATACATTCATTGAAAGCAATTGATACGTGAAATGGCTAATTTTCTAAAAGAAATATGTGATTTCTATAACCATCCCACATACTGTTCTTGTCCTATTGTAACAATATAAATTGGAAGCAAATCTCTTGGTTCTATGATTAATAATGCTTACTAGAAATCAAACTAAAGTGAAAGCACAGAATTCCAGTGAGTACTTTGCCTCCAAATGAATAATCTATATAGAGGCAGTTTACAGAAACAGGATTATGTTTTATGCTTTTTTAACATAAAAGGGAGGGGATTTGATTTCTTTGGAAAGAAGAACAATCTGTTCCTGATTTAGAAACTCCTGCTCCTTTTGGAAACACCTACTATACTTATTATCAATGTGAGAACAGCTCTCCCACTTTTGGTGGAGAAGACTAATATTTTTAATTTCCACTGTTTTTCCACAGCTTTCAGTATCTCCAGAAGAACTCCTCAAGAGAGCCTTTAAATTAAATGCTCCAGAGCTGCTAGTCTTAAGCAGGTCCTTGAGAGCATTTGACTTGAATGCTAGCAGCAGAGAGAAGAGTATGGACACTTCTCAAGCAGAAATCCATGAAGACCAAATAAATAATAGCCAAGATTCCTTGGAAAGTCTTCCGCGCATCATTATCATTCCTACCTCAGAAACCAGTCTATCTGAAGAGCAATCTTTGACAGAAAATATAGAGGAAGAAAACATTGATCCGTACTCTGCTCAAGAAAGGAACCAGCTGTTACTCAAAGGAAGGCTTCATTCTTCTACTGGACCAGTTGAGAAACTTGTGTCATAAGCTTGGCTGCGTCTTTGAATAATGATACCAAAAATAAAATTGCAGAATGGTTTAGATGACACATTTTCCCATGCAATGTTGAAGTTATTTCTGAACTCTATGCACTTTGTAGAAGCCAGCTGCAACAATAGGGGCTGAAGGCCCAAAGCACTCAAAGCTTATGTAACATGCTTGTCAACAAAACTACTTAGTAAATATGTCTTTATATAATTGGAATAAATTTTCATGCTTCCATTAATTTAACTGGAATGCTTAACATATGACTGTCCTATCACCAAATTCCAAGAAAAAGTGTTAAGAGTATATGTAACTATTAATTTTAGCCTGCACAAAATCTGTGACTTAAATCTTTCCTCATTTCAGCTATCAGCTGAAAGATGAGTCAGAAGTACATGTTAAGGAACATGCAGCTCCTTATAACCTGTAACCTGTTGACTTTTTAACCTAGTAAAATAGTTAATTTGTCATTTGTCCTGAACTTGAAATAGCAACACAGAAATAAGAAACTGATTTGAAAATGGATGTCTTTAAGGAAAAATTGATGCATTTAAGGATTTTTAAAATTTTAAACCATCACCATCTTCTATGTCTCACTGACCTCAGTCCTTTTCACAATATCTGTTTGTATGAGTGTATTTTTTTTTTTTTTAGGTTAAAATCCATTTACCTTTGGATGATACTCGGGCTATATTCAAAAAAGTGAAAGGGACAGGATAAAAATTAAATTTAAATTAAATTATCACAGTTAATACTGTTATTTCCTATGTATTTAACTACAGAAGAATGGCAACTTTTGTGAAACTAGTGTGTAATCTGGGAGTTCTCCTGGACTCATGACTCAAGGAACAGGTGGCAGTCATGGCCAGGAGGGTCTTTATGCAACTTTAGGTTGTGTGCCAGTTAATCCCTGCTCACAGTCACCCAATCCCTAGTCACCTCATATCTTGACTATTGCAACATGCTCTACATAGGGCTGCCTTGAAAAGTACCCAGAAGCTTTAATTAGTTCAAAATGCAGCAGCCTGCATGATTTTGTACAAGTCTTGATGTGCACATATGTCATCTCTCCTGCAGAAGCTGCATTGGTTGTCAGTTTGCTTCTAGGTCCAATTCAAGGTGCTGGTTGTCATTTTCAAAGCCCTACATAGTTTGGACCAGGTTATTTAAAGGACCACCCTTTCCTGGTCACATCTGCCCAGCCCATCAGAATGGGGAGGCAGGGAATTCTACAGGTCTCCTCTCCCAAAAAGGTCCACCTTCTCCCTGGTGGAATCTGTGGAACGTCATCCCCACAGAGATAATTTTGGCCCCCATTTTAACACTCTTTTGCAAGGCGCTGAAGATCTCCTTTTGCCAACAGGCCTGGGGATCCCAGAGTGGGATGGAACCCCTCAAATGGCTCATCTGATTGTTGTCACTAGGCTGTAGGGGATTATTGCTTTTTTGTTTTTATATTGGGTTTTTATCCTTATAAGCCAGCCAGAGTCACTGAGAGTGAACTGGACGTCCATATAAGTTTTCTTAAATAAATAAAAACCTGGGGTGGCATCCAAAGATTTGGAGAGTGTCAGTTGTCTTAGAAAATGGACATCACTTATTTGGCCAGAATATAAGAATCGTTTAAGAAACTGTTATGGGCCAACTTCCCAATGAATCTGTATTATTCAACTTAATTTACGAAGTTTTAAGGCTTTGCACAGGGTTTTTATTCATACTTCTTTTCATTTCAAATGTGAAGGTGTCAAGCACATGATCAAACACGTCCCCTTTTCCCATTGGCAGGAACTAGACAAAGATATCATACTACATCTCTTGTATCTCTCTAGAATAATATCAGTAGGAAAATACCAAAAAAAAACCCATAACTGTATTTCATCATTCTTTGTCAATAGCTATAAACTGTTGAACTCTCAGAAGTAGGCTTTACTCAAGAGGGACAATAAAAACATTTAAGTGCTGTAATATAGTTGTCTCTTTTTGTTGACTGCAAGTTATTTATGGTTTCTTTCTCATAGACATTTGATTCTGATTGCCAAAACTTTTCACCACTGATCATACTGGGTTTGGATGGTGACAATGTTTGCACTAAAGGGCTACAATATTGTGCACACTTATATGTTAAGACTCTTGGCTAAACGATCAAAATGCTGCTGACAGGTAGTTAATTCAGTATGCATGAATTATCTGTTGATGTAGAAACAAAGTTGTTTGAATCAGGAATGCCCAACTGTGAGATACGTATGAATGAAAGTGCTGCTCAACATATATTTGAGGAATATACTGTAGTAGCCACATATACTATTATTCCATAGTTAAAGTATTATTTTGTGTGGCTGTGATTCATTGAAATCAAACATCTCCAGTCTTTCTAACCCTAAACCGATACATGCAAAAATGTATTTGTTCTGTGAGACAGATGGCAAGTAATAAAAAGTGTGTTGTGATGGAAATAATAATAATAATAATAATAATAATAATAACAATGCACCATTGTTGCTACTTTGTCACGCCGCTGGTTGCACAAACTGATTACAAGCAGCGGCATGACAAAGTAGCAACAATGGTGCATTGGAAGATCTGCAAAAAATATCATTTGCCTGTAAGCAAAAACTGGTGGGATCATAAAATAGAGAAAGTCATAGAAAATGATAAAATTAAACTGCTCTGGGACTTCAGAATTCAAACAGACAAGCACCTGCAACATAACACCCCAGACTTAACAATTGTCGATAAGAAAGACAAAAAAGTCTGGATAGTGGACGTGGCAGTGCCTGGAGATAGCAGAATAGAAGAGAAAGAAATGGAGAAGATAACAAAATACAAAGACCTACAAATAGAAATAGAAAGACTGTGGCAAAAGCAAGCAAGGGTAGTACCAATAGTAATAGGCTCCTTGGGTGCAATCCAAAACAACTGGAGCACCACTTGAACACCATTGGCATTGACAAATTCGCTATTAGTCAATTGCAAAAGGCGGACTTACTAGGAATTGCTTCCATCCTGCGACAATACCTGTAATACCATCAAACATCCACATCTGCCTATCCCAGGTCCTGGGTAAGGACTCGATAGGTAGACAAAATGCCAAATCCAGTCTGAACATCTGGCTGACTGTGCGATGATCGATAATAATAATAATAATAATAATAATGACTTCAGAATTCAAACAGACAAGCACCTGCAACATAACACCCCAGACTTAACAATTGTCGATAAGAAAGACAAAAAAGTCTGGATAGTGGACGTGGCAGTGCCTGGAGACAGCAGAATAGACGAGAAAGAACTGGATAACAAAGATAACAAAATATAAAGACCTACAAATAGAAATAGAAAGATTGTGGCAAAAGCAAGCAAGGGTAGTACCAATAGTAATAGGCTCCTTGGGTGCAATCCCAAAATAACTGGAGCACCACTTGAACACCATTGGCACTGACAAATTCGCTATTAGTCAATTGCCTTACTAGGAACTGCTTCCATCCTGCGACGATATCTGTAATACCATCAAACATCCACATCTGCCTATCCCAGGTCCTGGGTAGGGACTCGATAGGTAGACAAAATGCCAAATCCAGTCTTAACATCTGGCTGACTGTGCGATGATCAATAATAATAATAATAATAACTAGCACAATGTTGGAAGAAGGAATCTCTGCCTACCTTGCAAGAGTGGCTTTTTAAAGTTTCTTATCTGGCGGAAATGGCAAAGATTTCGGCTTTCCTGAAGGATCAATCTCAAGAGAAGTATGTTGTGGTATGGAGGAAATGGATAGATTTTACACAACACAAGATGGATATTAAAAAATATTATTTAGCTTTTTAATAATTTATATTGAAAAGCCAATTTTCTTGAAAAGCCAAACTTTTTTCCCTTTATTTTCTTTTCTTTTTATTATTATTATTTTCTTCTTTCCTCTTTTCTATTTTTCTTTTATATATATATATATATATATATATATATATATATATATATATATATATATATATATTACCTTTAATTATTGTATAACTTGTTTAAGTAATGTATTTAGATTTGTTTATAGTTTTATAACTTATATTGAAAAGTTAATTTTTTTTCATATTTTTTATGTGTTTCTTTTTTTTCTTCTTCTTTTCTGGTATTTATGTTTTTCTTTTTTTTACATATATATTGTTGTTAATTATTTAGTAATTTGTTTAAGTAATGTATCTAGATTTATTTATATTTTATACTTTTCTTAAGATTTTTTGAAGAAATTCTAATTAATCCTATATCCAGCTCTGGGATAGTCGGGGGAGGGAAGGGGAGGGTTGGGGAGGGATGGGGAAAACTGTTTTGTTTTTGTATTGTAAAACCTTATAAATTTTCAATAAAATAATAATAATAATAATAACAATAATAGAATTGGAAGGGACCTTGGAGGCCTTCTAGTCCAACGCCCTGCTCAGGCAGGAAACCCTACACCAGTTCAGACAAATGGTTGTCCAGTCTCTTCTTAAAAACTTCCAGTGTTGGAGCATTCACAACTTCTGGAGGCATGTTGTTCCATTGATTTATTGTTCTAACTGTCAGGAAATTGAGATCTCCTTAGTTCTAGGTTGCTTTTCTCCTTGATTAGTTTCCACCCATTGCTTCTTGTCCTGTTCATACAATTCCATATGAACAAAACTAAAACAAAAAGGATAAACTTTATATGCTGTAATGCCATGACACCTATTTCATCAATTTGGCAACATCAAAGCTAAACGGGAACAACCTGAAATGGAAAGAGAGAGAGAGAAAATGCAGTCAGATGCCCCCACTGAACATGTTCTGAAATAAATTCAGGCCAGCAATCAGGAGCAAGGAAAAACTAGATATGAACCTCACATTTTGTATCATTTGTGGGAAGAATTTTATGACTGAATCATATAGGTATATGTCATGTTGGCTGGGGAAGTCTGGGAGCTGAAGTCCACAAGTCTTAAAATTGGCAAGGTTGGACACCCTGGTCTAGAGCCTCATGTATTCAGTGTATTGTAAAACACTTTCTGCAATGTATTTCTGTGCAAATGCAGCCTTAGAGAATCCACTGTGAATGCACCACATTCCAGAGTTCAAATGTTTAAGGATATGTGTCTACTTTTTGTGGTTGGCTGTGTGGAATTCAATTTAATATAGCATGGAGCCCAGGTGTGGCTGAAAAACAACACTGGCATGCAGTTCAATTAATTCTTTCTTAGGTTGCATAATACTTTTACATCATTAAGTCCAGAGATGATTGATAACATGAAAACATAGTTCTTAATAACAGTATGAATAAACATTATCATTATTATCATTACTATCATTGTTGTCAAAATATTGATATATCTCAATGTCTGTGTACAAGTACATATAAGGTTGTTCTAACATACTTAACCCTTCTTTGCTGTATTGGTATCCACTGAAATCAATTTGCATTGATAATTAACGATAGCCCCAAAGTGAACAAGTACAAAAAATGTTCATGGTGCAAAATTAAACATAACTAAATAATTAAAAATCCAACAATAACAAAAGTGACTTGTCAAGTTCATCTATAACTTAAATCGCATAGCCACTAGATGTCATCAGTGAGATTATTTTGAAAATAATCATTTTGCAGTTGGTTATATTTCACTAACAAGACAACCTGTTGCTTTTTACCCTGGTTCAAGTCGAGGTATTTAACATAGAGTTGTTCTGCTTCATAGTATGTTAGAAAATCCTGGGACTGAAAGAGGATACAATATAGAAAAAAACACCAGCATGGCTCTGATTAAGAATATATTATTAATATACACTTTAATCCAGATCTTAAGGTGGGGTAAGACTTAGAAAAATGAGCTACAGACTCTCTAAAAACAATGAACCACACCTAGTTTACACATGCAGATATCATACTTCTTTATCCTGACAGGCAACTGCCAAATAAAGAATGCATTACTCAACTGGAAAGTACTGGAAAGGGTTTTATTTGGAACCCTATATGTATAATTACCCACAGACATATGCATGTTCGTACTTATATCACTATCATCAAATCTGGCCTGTGTTTCCCAGGAATACCTAAATAAATGAAATATTGTTCTCATAAATGAAAAAACATAGTAATTTTAATGGGCATTGTAGATCTCCTTCAGCCTATTACATGAAATTGGATGTTTCATCATGATGAAACAGGGTGGATCTAAAGTTTTAAATGTTAGGGTTCTTTGTTAAATGCTTGCAAATTGCTTCTCTTCTACCAGCAATCACCATCTCCTTGCAGCTCTCTAATATGCTTAAAGGGAAAAAAAAACTAGTTAATACAAAAAAGAGCTTTTCTTTTTGTAACACAGAGTAAGAGATAATTTTATAAACCTATCTGCATATGTTGCAAAGAGAACCTGAAGCTTCTTTTTATTTCTTTTTATCTTTTTCTTTTTGTACTTGTGTCTTTTCTTTGTCACTCTTTTCTTTTCTTCTTTTTTTGTTTTTTTATATTAGTTTGTGTTAAATTTTACCTTTTTAATACTCTCAATAAAATGTATGTATATATAAAAGAGAAAACTTCTTCAATCTCTCATAAATTTCCCACTGATGCAAAACTTCCCCTGTAAGTTGTTTTTCAATTAAGCCTATGTCTATCTTGAACAGGGCCGTAAAAATTCTTTTCCAGCTCCCATTATCTTATCCATTTCAATAAAACTATTCCAAGGGACGATGGTAGTTTAGCTGCAGGTTCTCATGAAATAATCTCTGCTAATTTCAGTCCACTATCAATCTTTTTTTTTATTTGCACTAATAACTATTGTGGAGAGAAATTGTTGTAAACAGTTCTCATGCCTGGGAGGCTGATGCCTCTTTTGAATGTAGGCATTGCTTGTTCTCCTAGAATAGTTTAATCACACAGATTTAACATTACTTGGTTCATCTACTGTGATAATTTGTGGACATAGATATCTTAGAAATGTTAAATCATATTTTAATAAGCTTCCAGGTT